GATGTCTCTAAAGCTTATGAGATGTTTATGAGATTTAGAGAGACTTACTATAATACTATCCCAGATCCTATGATAAGTAGGGCTGAGTTTATGAAGAAATATCCACTAATTGTAATAGACTGTTCTAGACAGAACGAAACAGTGAAGGAAGGAATTGTTGATATTAAATTAGAGATTGAAACTGCAGAAAATGTGCCAGCAAATACATCTGCATATTGTTTGATAATACATGATAAAGTGTTTGAGTACAATCCTTTGTCAAATGAGATAAATAAAATGTAAATAAAAGATGAAAAACATTCAACAAGAATTGGTTGACTCTGCAAATCAAATACAAGAGAAATATAGAGCTTTAAAACGTGGCAAGTTTCTAGAGGCTGAAGAGAGGTTTCAAACATTCCAACCTTTAATAGAGCCATTACAAGAATTAAAAAAAATCTCCAAAACAGAGAGGCCTCGAATGGAGATTCTCCCAATGACTCCATCTAGAATACCAATAATACCAAGATTGCAACCATTACAACAATCTACTCCACAGAAATTAGATTTTGGTCTTTTAGCATCAGACTATTTAGGAAATTACCTCAGTAAAAGTAGTATGACAGACACTACATATGGTATTAGACGAGAAGCAAATAAATTTTTTATTGGAAATAAGGAAGTTGACATTGCCAATGATGATGTTACAATTGCAAATAAAACCTACAAGGGGACAAAAGGTTTGTGGCAATTGTTAACTTTAAAAGAACCTGAGGATTATACTCCGGCTGATTTGCAAAATTATAAAGAAATTTTGGAAGCTACAAATGGGCATTTAAAGAGTTACAAAGATGGTGCACCAATTTCAAGTAATAGACATACTAAATATCTTAATATAATTAAACCTCTTTTTAAATCTGTTGGTGAAGGTTTGAGACAAGTGACTGGTAATAAAATAGACTATATTTATTGGGATGATCCTAATGAGCTTGTAGATAGGTTAAGACTTCTTTGGCTAAGTCGCCAAGCCGGTAACTCAGGAGTGGATAATGAAATAGATTCCATTATTGAGGAATTAAGAGAAAGTGGAATTATTTATTAAATAAAAATATGTTTATAGATAAATTTTATCGTTTATATAATCCATATAATAAGCCTGCAGAACCCAGGGCTAGTAGTGAACCTACTTTAAATTTACAAGACGATAGTTGGAATGGTTTAAACCGTAAAATTGGTAATGTTAAAGATGGGGAGTTTGTAGATGATGTATCAACTTTGGGACAGACATTAACTAGAAAAGGTGATGTTTTTTTACAAGGTAAAACTAAATATGAGTTTTTAGAATCTAAGAATAAAAATTGGAATGCTAAAAAACAGAAAATTACTAATGTGGGAAAGGGTGAAAGTTTAGATGATGTGCCCACTTTACAACAGACTTTAATACGAAAAAAATATGGTACATTTGTACAAGACAATAATAATTATGAATTTTTAGAATCAGAGAATGGTGTTTGGAATGCTAAGAAACGGAAAATTACTAATGTAGAAAAGGGTGAAAGTTTAGATGATGTGCCCACTTTACAACAGACTTTAATACGAAAAGAAGATGGTAAATTTATACAAGACGATAATAATTATGAATTTTTAGAATCAGAGAATGGTGTTTGGAATGCAAAGAAACAGAAAATTAGTAATTTGATGGAAGGTACAGATAGTAAAGATGCTGTGAATGTTTCACAAGTTCCAAAAATGGAAGCAGGCTATTGGAATTTTAATAATAAAAGGTTAGTACGTGTTAAACCTGCCATTGATGACACTGACTGTGTTACAAAAGAACAGACTATAACTTATAATAAAAAACTATATTGTTGGGATGCCAAAAATCAATTTATAAGAAATCTACCAGAGGGGAAACATTTGGATGATATTTGTCTAATGTCACAAGCTATGCGTTATGATGGATCGAAATTTGTGTATGGAGAAAAAAATTTTAATTTGATGGAATACAATCCTGATTTATTAGTTGCTGACCCCACATCTTTGAGTGGATTTAAGTATATAGATAATAGACCATATATACCAGAAAACTATGTATTTAAAAGAATGGAAGATAATCTATTGATTGGGGCTAATGGTGATGTATTTAGAGTTACAGGAAAGGATGATGTTATAAAAAATGAATGAAATTGCATACGAACTTCATAAACCTGCAAGAAAGAATTTCATAAGAAGGTCTTTCAAAGTATTAGGTATAAATGAAACCGTACAAATAGATTTAATTGATATGCAAAACTATGCTAGAGAAAATTCTGGCAATAAATATATTTTAACTTTAATAGATACATTTTCTAAAAAAGCTTATGCTGCTCCACTAAAGAATAAGACAGGGTTAGTGGTTACAGAAGCCATTAAAACCATTCTACCAAAGGGGGTTAAAAACATTCAATCTGACAATGGAAAAGAATTTTTTAATCAATATTTTAACAAACTAATGAAAAAATTAAATATTAATCACTATCACACATTTTCTACAACTAAGGCTGCAATTGTGGAGAGGTTTCAGAGAACTTTAAAGAATTGGTTATATAGGGAATTTAGTGCTCAGGGGAGTTATAAATGGTTGGATTTACTTCCAAAGTTAATTCGAAAATATAATAATAAGGTGCATAGATCTATAGGAATGAAGCCTAACCAAGTGAATGTTAAGAATAGTAAATATGTGCATGAGAGGTTGACTTCTAAAGTAGAGCAAGTTAAAAAGCCAAGATATAAGGTAGGTGATAGCGTAAGGATTTCCAAGTATAAACATGTTTTTAGTAAAGGTTATACTCCAAATTGGACAGGGGAACTATTTACAATAGCAGAAGTTAAGAATACAAAGCCTGTGACTTAGATCTTGAAAGATGAAAATGGCAATATAATCAGGGGAGGCTTCTATACAGAGGAGTTGTTAAAGACAAAGTATAAGGACATGTATTTGGTAGAGAAGATAATTAGGAGAAAGGGTGATTCGTTGTATGTCAAATGGCTTGGGTTCCCAAGTAGCCAGAACTCATGGATTTCCACTAAGGATGTCCAAGGGAGCGCGCCCGAGTTCGCGTGCCGAGAGCCGGGTCTTTAAAAAAGTGGCCAAAAAAATGAGCCATATTCCAGACGTGTTTTTCAGTATTAAAAAAGTAGAAAATTTATATAGGGGTGTATAGGTCGAGAGCTGGATCTTTAAAAAAGTGGCCAAAAATAGCTCTTCCATTTTTTTCTCATTTTTCCCCTATAAAAAGTGCCCTAAAAGTGCCTCTAAAACGCCGAAAGTGAGGTCATATTCTGGTATTATATCTACTATCCAACATCTCCCACTGGATGCCTTGATGAACAACGAGAGCTCGAGCTACAGTGCAATGGTCACAATTAATACTTAAAATATTTTTGATGCTACAGTATACCTAATATGATTCTGTTAATCTGTTTAGGCCTCAAGTAGTTGAATTGTTTTTCTGGTAGTTGGAGAGGATACTAGTATTTGAATATAGATTATTTAATTGCCATTAGATTAGTAGGCTACTGTTATAATTGATTGTTATATAATTAATTAATCTTTTCTCTATAACTATTAAAAACTTGTTTAAATAAGTTAAAGAATATAAAAAAATTAATTATAATAATTATTATATATGTTAAGCAGGTGTTCCCCACTGTATCTAGTATCACAACATCATCTGACTACATTCTTTATTGATCCAAATTTTTACAATATTTGTCTTATATTCTGCTGCCATAACATTTATGTACTTTTAAATAAATCAATTTGTTAAAATCGTTTTAGAATGTTTTATACTTAAACCCAACGAATGCCCAACGAAGGCCCAACGATTCTTTCCTTTGTAGGGCCAACGAATACCAGTTTCCGTTGGGCCAACGTTGGCAAATCGTTAAAATTTCTGCCAACCATTTCCCAACCGTGCCGACTATTTCCCAACGTTGGGCCGACGATGTGTGCTACTTGGGCCTTGACATGAGGGATGTCAGTTAGTTGTCTCAGCCTTATCAGTTACATCAAGTTGTCAATATAATCTCTCTACGGAATGTTAGGTGTAGCGTGCATCGATTTACAAATTCCTTTCCCAGCTGATGTGAGCTAGGCGATGACCGGTAGGGCTGACTTCCAAGAAACATCGTTAACCTATAAGCCACACACTCTATCGGTAATCAGCCAATGAGAAGGGCTAATGAAGAAGATGGAGGGGTCAAGAGTCTCGGAGCTGGAGGACCTGGAGAGGAGAATCGAGATCACCACGGGCCACCGGAGAAAGAAGATCAGGAGTTTGGGAGTGCGTGTATCGGTGTGTGTGCTTCTGGGACAATAAACAGTATGTAAAAAGAATTAAATATATAACTAAAGTAACTAATTCTTTTATATTTTCATTTGATTTTCTTTTCTTGTAATTTAACGTTGTAAATTAATTTATCTTATTATTGTTGATTTTTGCCTTTTCAAAGTTTTCTTTTGCTGTTGTTACACTTTGTAACTTTTGTTGTTTTCCTAAATTTAAATTTTGTTCATTACACGTTGAGTAACACCCTTAAGCAGTCTTATGTCTCATTAACCTAACACCTCTTCACTAAGCTAAGCGAGTGTATCATTTTAGGAAACTTAAACTTAAAGTGAGGCATGGGACTCGCAATATATAGATAAACGATTGCATGTATCGAAATATGTATCGATTCATGCTTCGTAACCATTTTAACCTACAGTCTACAGTCTCTTCCCATAGCATTTTAGCATTGCACCCAGATAGCAAGGACCCTTGATTCAAGGTAAACTTTTCCCTACAATTTGCATTCACAATTCAAGGTTGCAAATATTAGGAACATTGTGGCTGGATTCAAGGACAACAAAATACTGCCCTTTTTGAGTTCATAGATTCCGCCCTGAAACAGAGTCAACAAAACAACAGCGCGAATTCCCATGATGCAGTTCGACCAAGCGCCAGCCAGACGCCAGGATCCACCCCTAAACAATCCTAACCCTAACCTCTTTGTCTTTGTCTTTGTGTGTCTTGTCAGTTTGTCTTTTTGCGACGTTTGTTTCTCGCGTTATTACTATATCAGAGTTTTTAGACATAAAGTATTCATATTGAAGTTAGTTTTTGTCAATTTTCAATTTCTTTGTTCATAGTTAATTCCATAGTGTTCGATTTTAGAAGACTAACTGCAACAAAAGTGCTTGTGAGCCAACAAAACATAAAGGTGAGTCAGCTAATCTTTTCATTGTATTCATAATATTTTTTCCATTCTTATGATAAGATATGTGTGTTAGAATGCTAATCATACTGACATTAGAACCTCAAGTTACAAATGCTCTGAAAATTATCTTACAACAATAAACTGCCAAATTTGGACTAGGATCCAGAATAATTCTAGGCCTGTGCTTGCCCTAGGCCTCATGACTGGTGAATTGTTTTATAGTTGGCCTAGAAAGTATTGTGATCCGTTGGAATATTGTATCTGGAATTGTTCAATACCTAGTTACTTATTTTTGCCAAATCCGGTGGGCTACAATATTGTGAACACACAAGCCAATATGTAACTTAATGATGCAGTTTTTTATCAGCGTAGATTGTCTTAAGTTATCATAGGCCGAAGTTATGAAGTTTCATTTAAGAATGAAGAAATGATTTTCGATGGATTGGATAAATAGACCTAGGCCTATAGAAAAATATTTTAATTTAGCTTAGGCCTATGTCTTAAGTTATAGACTTGGTACTGTAGCCTAGGTCTAAGGGCTTATCCTAGTCCTATGTCCTGATGCTAGGGTTTTTCGGCAAACATTTAGATGGGTTAAGATTAGCATCTCTCAAAGATTTTAAGTTTTGTACGCCATACCCATTGATTAAACTAAGTAAAGGTAGGCTACCGTAATGAACTAATTTAAAACAACCTTCTACAAAATGTCACTTGACTGGAGACCTGCCATTTTGGTTTTATGTAGCTGTTAACTTTAAATCATATCCTGGTAACTTGTGCCTATTTAAGTTACTAAAGATGTATATTGCCCATGCTGTAAGTTGTAAAGTTATTGTAACAAGGTTACCTAGGCTGCTGTGTTATTTTTCAAATTAACTAATTAGCTTCAGCGAACACAGATTTAAAACAAGTGGCTTGCCGTTTGAACAAACGTTACAAGATGAGTTGCCATCTTGCTTTGCATCGAAATTTGCAGAATTTAGAACTGTAATTTAGACATTATTATGAATAACTTGGTCTGTGTGCTGCAATTTAACTTACGGTACCGGTATTAACAATTTTGGAAAAATTCTGAAATTTTCTGCTTTAAATAAACCTTACCATTTGTAGGCCTATAGTTTTTAAATTTTATTGATGATTTGTAATTTAAAATAAAAAATATTAATAGCCTAAATCATAACTTAATATTATTAAAACCTTAGAGTAAGAAAGTTAGTAGGTTAAACTTACTAAAACTTTCGTTTGTTGGTCAAACAAAAATTCACTTGGAAGAAAGTTGTTTAAAAAAAAATTAATGCCAGACTTATGGTTTAGGCCTACTTCTTTTTCCATCTTGCTTAATTTAGCCAGAATTTCAGGTTGAACAGAGAGGCAAGACCATTGAACGAGTCTAAACTAAATTTTTTGTACTTGATTCATTTGGTAAATCCCACTGTACACCCCTGAAAACACACACTGACCAATTATGTCTATTCTGTACTTTACTACAGAAGTGAGATTGTCAAAGCTAGTTTGTTAAATACAAATACATGGCATATTCTCTCTAAAAGCTGATTGTTTTGTATTTTTCTTCCAATACTAGCTGTAACCCGCGGGCTTTGCCCCGTTTAACTTTCAAGATGATCTCGTTCGCATGGCTCAATCACGTCCTGGTTGAAGTTTGTTCGCTACGCTCACTCACCTTTAGATTGGAGCTCGTTCACTACGCTCACTCACCTTTTGGTTGCAAATTAGCTGTTGTCATAAATGTAAAAGAAATAATAGTGCTGCACCCTGTTGGTAATCCTTGTAACTTTAATGCTATTAAACATCATAGAACAGAACCAACTTGTTTAATTGAAACAGCTGTTAAGATTCATTAATTCCATTTCTCATAAGGTTAACATGGGAAACTCCAGAGCCACTGGGGCGGAGCCCAGAGGTCGGAGGGTAAAATCCTTTCTTAGTGATCGTCTACTACCCAAAAGGATGATGCCTGCCAAGATTCAGGTTCCTAGGTCTTATGGTTTCTGAGATTTCGTGATGAGTGAGTGAATGAATGAGTCAGTGGTATTTGAGCTTTATATAGATTTGCATAACAAATTCTTTTGTTATTGTTATCTATTATGAGGCGTTATCTATTAAAAAAACTGCATCCGTGCATGGCTGTGACAAGCCAAATTCTGGGCCAGTACCTAAAAGGTTTGTAGAGCATATTAGTTATAGAACTGTTTATTTCATAAGGTTTACTTTTGTTGTTACAGTAGAACCTCGATAGTTCGACACTCCCTGTAGTTCGACACAGGCCGTGATGACAAGACATGGCATCAGTGGCCGATGACGGGTTCACCAAGGTTAAAAACTAGAGCATTCTTAGTGTTTTCGTGCATGGAAAAACTCAATAGGTAGCCTACTTAAAATATCCCATTACCTTACATTTTTTCTAAGATCCAAAGTGTAAAAAGCATGTGACGTAAATTATGAGGGGCGAATAAGATTGTATTTACTGAGCAGCCTACCCCTAGTACCAGCCACGCTAAAATTTCTTCCCCGGGGTGCTGAGAAGGATTCACGGTTTTGACTGATTAATTATTTTAATTTAATCTAAGGTTCAGAGCTCTAGAAGCGCTCAAAAGATCCTGCAGACGCCCAGGAGGAGAGCAATATCATCCTCGCCTTTGTTAAAATGTTATTGCAAATTTTGCCTAACTTTTAGAATAACTGTAGGACAGACGAGTACTCTACCCTGGCCAATTCGATAAAACTACCTACTCGTTTAAACTGTTGCAACAACGGGTTTTAGAATTCTAATAACAAGTCTTGGGTTTGTTAATTTGGTTTATTAGTATAAGGAACATACAAGGGTGGTTTTTCAAGTAAGAGCCAGTTTCTGCGTATAAATCCATAATTCGCTTAAGTACGCTGCAGCAAGGCTCCTCGCCACTTGCTGGTATCATTTGTGAACAGAATGACACAATTTGCAGCTCTGTAGCTGACATGTACCTACATTTCGCTGTGTGTTTCAACAATTTTTTAGACTTTTTGTCCCCGTACGCTAGGCTGGAGCCCGGGATTGTTTTTCACATTACTTCAGGCTAGACCTAGGGGTTACGGCATTATCACTTAGTTAAAATCCATTGGTGATTTGGCGGGATTTGAACCCTGGACCCCAGGAACCGGAATGACCGCGCTCTAACCACTAGACCTGCTCGCTCCCCAATTTTTTAGACTATTGATAATGTCAATGATAATCAGGGCCGGAGAGAGCCATCATGGGCCCCTGGGCTCAGCGATCCCGGGCCCCCTATTTACTTGATTTAGTGTCCAGCCGTCTCCGTGCCGTTTTGTCACACAAATAACTATATTAATAAATGTTTGCTCACAGTTTCAGCTTTAATCACAGTCAAAACAATTCAAGTAAAAAATTACTTAGTGAACTGGAAAACCATGCTGAAATTTTTAACTCAAGCAGATTACATGTACAGAAAAAATTTAAAAAAAATTAGATAAAACATACTCCCTTAGTTGATACTTTATGATTTTTTTTGTTGCAGGAAAAGAGGAGTTATTGGTGCACAGAATAGGAACATCAGGCTGAGGTTATGCGACAGTAAATAATGTATAAGTAAAATGTCACTTAATTTAACTCATGTTCTAATTTTCAAGTTTGTTTTATACTTTATATTTTCATAAAATAAATTTACTATAACCAATGTCACTTGCTACATTTTATTTATACCCCCACAAATAGTGATATTTTGGCTATGTTTGAAGAACTGTTTTGAACTTTTAAACTTTTTGTTGATCACTGAGATGTCTTTTCTAAAGCAGGGTCTGGTGTAATTTGATGAGGCCTTATTAAAAATTAAATGCTCTCACCCTTCACTCACAAGCTTGGCAGAATAGGCTTATTATTTTTAACCTAACTCAGTTATCCTATACAACATTTAAATAAAGTGTTATAGCATCATTTATAGGTTTCTAGCTGCCCCTCCCCTTGGGCTTCACAACAGAATTGAAAAATTTTCTTTGCTACAAAAAGTTGTTTTGCATTGGTTTTGCTTAGAATTTTCCTAACAGCGGTTTGGTAGCTAATACAATTAAACGAAAGTTCTGTCAAAAGAAAAATATGTTAACATTGTAATTTTAAAGCCAGTGAGCCAGAGCCCTGATGGAATCTCTCAAAGCTACTTCTTGTACATATTAAGTGAAACCTATTATGGAGGTTAAGTGAAACCTCCATGCCACCAAGTTCTGAGTACATATGCATGGTAGTTTTTGAGGAATAGTGATCAATGAGTGAGTGAGTGGTAACTGTATTATAATATAGATTATAAGGTCAAATTATGTATCCACCCAAAGTTTTCTGCGTGGATTAAAGCTTAAGGTAATGTACCTTGCGTTTAATATTTTAAGGCTTAACTTACTGCCATAAAGCAACCAATATTTTGATGTCCTAATAGATAGCTGTCCCCGCGCTTAGTAGGCATCATTAAAGTTCTTGAGTTCACAAAGACAAAACAGCTAGGCTATCCACTAGGACATTAAAATATTGGACTACTTTAAGACCGTAAGAATGCCGTAAGTCAAGTAAAATTCCTTGTCAGTCAATCACTTGTTACTGTATGTACTGAGTTGATCATGATTATGCTTTTATTTAACCCGAATTCAACAATATATTTTGATTTCAGCCAAAAATCTTTACCTTGAATTAACCTTAAATTTTCAGGTTATGAGTCCTGAATTGACCATGATTTGACCTTAATTTAAACATACTTATACCTTAATTCAACCTCAATTCAGCCTTGATTATGCATTACTGCCAGAAACGTTTGCCTTGAATCAACCTAAAATTTTCAAGGTTGATTCAGGTTTCACAAGTGTTCAGTAGGACCCTTGAATTAGCCCTGAATTAGGCTTGATGGCTTGATATTTTAAGATTAATTCAGGCTTGCATCTTTGAAAGTTTAACCTTGATTTAATACTGAATCAGGAAAAAAATTGCTATCTGGGCAGATACATTAATCCATTCCCACACTCAAAACTGCTCACCTTTACTACTTGCTTCACCACCCCCTACGTCGTGGACATGTTTCCCTCTCTTCCCATAGCATTTTAGGATTGCAGATACATTAATGTAATTGCCAAAGACAGTTCCCACACTCTGCACTGCAAGCCTTACTCCTTCCTTCACCATTTCCTACATCGTGGGGTCTGTTTCCTTCCCTTCTCATAGCATTTAAGTATTAAATACATTTATCTAACTGCCCAAACGGTTACCCCACTCTGCATTGCCAGCCTTTACTACTTCCTTCACCACTTCCTACGTCGTGGGGCCTGTTTCCTTTCCTTCTCAAAGCATTTTAGGATTGAAGATACATTAATCTAACTGCCACAGACGGTTCTCACACTATGCTCATACTTTACTACTTCCTAGGCTACTTCCTACATCGTGGACCTGTTTTCACCACAATCCATAGCATTTTAGTATTTTAGTTACGTTAATCTAATTGCCCCAAACATTGCCCACACTCCGCACTGTTAGCCTTTACTACTTCTTCCATCATTTTCTATGTCGTGGGGATGCTTCCATCCCTTCTCATAGCATTTCAGCATTGCAGATACATTAATCCAACTGCTACAAACGGTTTCCAGTTCCCACACTCCACACTGTTCACCTTACTACTTCCTTCACCTCTTCTTACGTCGAGGACCTGTTTCCCTCTCTTCCCTAAGAATTTTAAGATTCTAGATACCTTAATCTAATCGTCATAAACAGTTCCCACACCTTGGACTGCTCGCATTTACTACTCCCTTCACCACTTCCTACGTCTTGGACCTGTTTCCTTCCCTTCCCATAGCATTTTAGGATTGCAGATCTCTTAATCTAATCGTTATAAAAAGTTCCCACTCTTCGGATAGCTCTCCTTTACTACTTCCTTCACCACTTCCTACGTCACGGACCTGTTTCCCTCCCTTCCCTTAGCAGTATTGGAATGCAAATACCTTAATCTATTGGTCATAAACAGATCCCACATTCCGAACAACAACCTCAAAAAATGAGTGTTAGTCATTTAGGTTACGGCCTAGTTGCACGATTCTAGCAGGCAATATGCCTAATATGCGTATCTGTAGAATATTTGCTGAAGAAACAAGAAAGAGTGTAATAAATTGTCTAGTGTTTAAATGTGTGTAAATATTAGGCTAGGCAATAAAAATGAGTGCTAATTTGGACCTAACCTCAAAACATGAGTGTTAGTAATTTGGATACGGCCTAGTTGCACGATTTGACGGTAAGTGGGTGAACTGTTTATTAATTAGAATATAAGTTATACGGTACATTTACCAATAAAAATGTACGTTATTCAATCTCTTTTTACAAACAGCATTCTAGCCTTTTTTGTAAATATGTGCGCGAGTCTAAATTTTTACTACTATAGTAACGATATCACTGATATCAGGCCGGCCTACATCCCGAATGCAGCAAATCTGTGTAATTAGTAAACCTAAAATACTACGATAATGCATTTGGATAAAGCTTCTCTTAATTAAAAGCATAACATTTGTCCATAAAAGAGCTGTCTAAGTAGTCCTAAATTATAGACCTGGTTTTGTTTAACCCTCCGAATGTTAAGCGTCGTAAAAGCGACTCATGACACACCAGCCATGGTGTTATGCGTCGCTTTTGCGACTCACAAACACTGTTTACGGCGACGGCTCTGGGACTGACTGAATCGGATTGAACTGGATCGAGTTAGGTATCGTTTTTTTCAGCAGATTCAGAGCTTTCTTCTGATGTCTTTTTCTAGACGCTTTTTATTTTAGTTCCGAAAATATTATAGCAGACAGCTGACGTGCGTATTTGTAAACAGCTTTATATATATTATTTATACAGGGTTAGTAAAAAGTGTGGAGACCCCCTGTTATTTTTTAACGGCCCATACTAGAAAAACTAAACTCGGCACACCATTATGGCATGATATGAAGTACTTTTTGGGCATAACCGCCACTTGGTGTTCATCCCCAAAATGGGGGATTTTGGGGGAAACTAAAAAATTTCAAATACAAAGACCCATCGAGTGACCCCTCATTTTGAGAAGGTCCTGGTAAAATAAAACCAACAACGCAAACTAGAGGTCTCTATCTCAGTTCACTACAAAATGGCAGCCGATTGAAATTCTCATAAGTTCCCAACCCCAAAATGGGGGATTTTGGGGGAAACTCAAAATTTTTTAATGATAAGCCCCATTGAGTGACCCCTCATTTTGAAGGCCATAATAAAAAAAAAGTTTTATTTAATCAGGACCTTCAAAATGAGGGGTCACTTGATGGGGCTTATCATTAAAAACTTTTGAGTTTCCCCCAAAATCCCCCATTTTGGGTTTGGTAAGCAAGTGGCTATTAGGCTTAAAAAGTACTTCATAACATGCCAAAAAGGTGTGTAGAGTTTAGTTTTCCTAGTGAGAGCCGCTACAAAATTTACAGGGGGTCTTCAGACTTGGAAAGCTGCAAGTTAAATTCAACTTCTGAGAATTTCAATTGGCTGCCATTTTTTTACTGGATTGAGATAAAGACCTCTAGTTTGCGTTTTTGGTTTTCTTTTACCAGGACCTTCAAAATGAGGGGTCACTCGATGGGTCTTTGTATTTGAAATCTTTTAGTTTCCCCCAAAATCCCCCATTTTGGGGATGTACATCAAGTGACGGTTATGCCCAAAAAGTACTTCATAACATGCCATAAAGGTGTGCCGAGTTTAGTTTTTCTAGTATGGGCCGTTAAAAAAATAACGGGGTCTTCACACTTTTTACTAACCCTGTATATTTGAAATACATTATATTAAATATATTTTTAATATACTAGCCCTTTCCCATATTTAAAATATATTATAAGAACACATTTGAAATATATAATTTATATATAAATACCACAAATGAAATATAACTAAATATATTCCTCGGTCCCATAATTTGCATATTTAAAATATATTGACAATATATATTAGCAAATATATAGCTTTATATTTCAAATATATTTTTTATATATTTTTCAATATAAATTTTCTATGTGGATCGCCTTTACTACTTCCTTCACCACTTCCTACGTCATGGACCTGTTTCCCTCATTTTCCATGTCATTTTAGGATTGCAGATACCTTGGTCTAGAATCGTCATAAACAGTTCCCACGCTCCGGACAGCTCGCCTTGACTACTTCCTTCACCACTTCCTACGTCACGGACCTGTTTCCCTCCCTTCCCATAGCATCATAGGATTGTAAATATCATAATCTAATGGTCATAAACAGATCCCATACCCCGAACAGCTCGCCTTTACTCCTCTTCCTTCACCACTTCCTACGTCGGGGACCTGTTTCCTTCCCTTCCAATAGCATTTTAGGATTGCAAATAGATGCCTTAATCTAATCGTCATAAACAGTTTCCACACTCCAGACTGCTCACCTTTACAACTTCCTTCACCGCTTCCTACGTCACGGACCTCAAGCTAGTGTCGTCATTTGATTATATTTATGATCCATACCGTTTCTGTTCCAATATTTGTGGAATAATGCTATCAGCTATTTCTTTATCTACTGCATTCAAAAGTCAAGCTCATTTCTCAAGAAGATGATGATCCTGCTGAATACGCATAGATATATAAGTAAGTACAATAATGTCACTAGAACCCAAAGGACAATTAAGCACAGTTCAAACAAAAAATACAATGAATAAATATGAGGGAAATAGGGTCACAATGCCCATTTGCAAATCTTTGAAGACTGTGGCAGACATTTTGTAGGAACGAGAGCTCCGAGGAATCAAGTGTGAGATTCTTATGTACATAATAAGAGACAGAAGAAGTGTCTTCCCTCGATACAATGGTGCTACCTATGTAGGTGTCACAGCAATTTTTAAAGTTGAAAACAAAGCAGCACCTGGCCAAATAAATCGTATAGTTTTTTCCAATACACTAATAATGTTAAACGCGTATC